CCAGAAGCAACTCTTGTGAAGAGTTTGGTTCGTGATCCACGTATCGTTTGAGATTTGATTACTGGAGTACAGAATTTCACTGGTTTTATTGGTGTAGTTTTGCTGAGCTTTGAGATTGAAATTATCCGACATTCATCCGCACCTCTAACATCATGTAGCCACAGAACAGCAAAAACCAAAATTACGAGGACAACTGTCACAGTCTTCATGCTGTGGTACCTTGATGAAACGGCTTCGACCTAATTCTAATACGCACTCGCAAAATAAACTGATCACGAATTACAAAAATATGCAATTTATAGAGAGCGGATAAGGAAAATATTTCAGGTAAATTTACAAAAAAATATATAAAATAAATTCTCGAGAAATATTGCCGAAAACTTTTTCTTTTTAAGCAAGGATCAATTGAAGGGTGATTTTCACTGACGCGTTTTTTCCTACGTACCTTAACGCACACATGATTTTGAAGCGAAAGAAAAGGTGTGAGATGTCATAAGGTTTTAACGTGAGGATGAGGCAAGAACTTGTGTTGAAATGAGCAGCACCATCAAACTCAGAGGCACCCAACGGCTGTTTTCTGTGAAATATCTGATCGGAGAAGCAAAAATTGCCTAGAATTTTCTAAGGTTTGAGAAGGCTAAAAACTTCTAGATGACCGTTCCATTCATGTACAATTTTCAAAGCTTATCTAATAAATTCCCTACGGTTTTCTGAAGTTTAATTTTTCCCATATCACTTCCAGGTTAAGCTACTTTTCGTAGAGAAAGGAAACCTACATTTTCGGAATCGAAAATACAATGCAGGGAGGAATCAGAAAAATTCTCACTTTCGTAAAACTTTAAATTGCAGCTAAAATTTTCGGCAAAATAATACTGAAGCCCTTGTAATTTCTAATAGACTCAAGTTGCCCTAGAATGACCGAAGAGATAAAAATTTTTTAGCGCCACTTAGAATACTTTTTTAGTGATCTAAAAGTGCTCTGGATAACCTAAAAAGTGTATTCAATGCAATTAGGGGGAAACCGTCGTTGGGTGCCCTGTCAGATTCCGTACTCCAGTAATCAAATCTCAAGCGATTAGTGGCTCACGAACCAAACTGTTCACAAGAGCGCGGCTGGTTGTCATGTAACGAGATATGTACTGGATAAAGCTCCACTTTACCGAGAAGGATTTCCAGTCTATGGAAGATACGTATCCATTCCGGAGGAAAGAGCTGTGAGGCTGTCGTCCGAAAGAGTGAGTTTACTGAACTCAAATGGAAACTTATGTCTCACTCGGAGAAACTCCTCAATACCTCGGACCCTGAAAGACGGAATAGAAAAGAATGTTTTTGAACTGAACACGACTGTGATCTACAAGACAAACCCGGAGAAAGTAATCAGAATGTACGGCGTTGATAACACAGTTTCACTGGAAGACATCAAAGACAAGAACTTCACAGTTACGACTCGTGTTCGGTATAATGTCACAGTCGTAGAAAATAATGATTGTACCCAAGTGGAAAGTCAAATCAATGGAACAATGATTGATTTGTATGAGTTTAACCCCAATGCGGAAAACGAATATACGGGTATCATCATAATGGTAATTATTGCGGTTATTATTGTTGTTAATGGAGGTCCATGTCTGTGCATAACGTTATTAGATCGCTGTTGCTAGCCACAGCGTTATTAGATTTGCAGTGTTGTTTTTACGAGGCTCCCCGTCTTGTTTGACTTCCTCAGAGTATTGGTTAATTGCTGACATCAATTGTATAACTCGTTCTGACGCGCATTATTACCCAAATGGAACGAATGAACTTATTTTTTCCGTTCCACTTATATGCATGTATAAGACCCAGTCCAGACACTATACCGTCCGAAATGGGGAGATTGCACAATTTTTTTCGAAGAATGGCATGATAAAGTATGTTCGATATTATTGTAGTTTTGGATTTTGGGTAATACATGTAAACTAACTAGGAAATTGTTTCATAAAAGCTAAGCGTATATACACAATAAACTTGACTTGACTTGACTTGTGGACGTACATTGAAACCAGTGCATGAAAGTTTGTTTATTTTAAACGTATAGGAAGTGTATGGGAATATCGATCGTTTGGTAAAATGTCGCTAAATACTGCGATGAATATTAACTATTATTATTCGTTCAAAATATTTCTCCGTTTCTTATTGGCTTCAACACCGCTACTAATTCTTCATGACTAGCTAAAGTTGACAAAGGTGTTTGCCGATATCTGTAAAATTGACGTCACTTGTACGGATATCGACAGAAAAAGGGACAGCAGTACAAGGCAGGGTAGCTCAGCTATCTTGGCAGAGCAAGTGAAATGATGGAAGATTTCACTCGTTATGCGAAGAAGAAATACCACTCAGCCGATTGCAATTGCTATTTGAAGAATGTCTGCTAGAATTGAACATCTCGTTATAACTTAAAACTTCTGAGGAGGAGGTTAATGGCTATGTGTTACATGGATAGAGTTTTGCATGTATGGTTGACTCAGTTGGAAATATTTTGAATGAATAATGAAATAATCATTGGATTCGGCTTCCGTATGATATGAAGAATTATGCTTATCAATGAGGGTGTTATCCCTATTGGGCTTTCGATCGGCCTCGACGGATAACACCCTTCTTGATACGCATAATTCTTCATACCATACTGAGCCTCATGGAATAATTAGTAAATTTTGGCAAAATAAATGTGAACTTACCTTTAATGTTGTGTATTATCGTTCTTTTGAGCGTAAAAGGCGAATTTTTAGTACTCAAACGCTAAAACGCTTTCTTCCCATAAATTTAAAGCAAGCGAACGGTCACACACTTGGTATGGCCCCCTTGTGGATGCTGTTAGTTTATTTCATGCACTCATACTTTTATTTTGTCTTTAAAAAAGGCCGTGCGGGCCTTGCGTTCAAAGTGTCAAAATATTCATCCTCGGAGACCCAGGGGCAGATAGTGGGGACGACGGAAAGTCTAAACGGGCGGAAAAATGTGGCGCGAAGAAAAGTAAGAACGGCGAGAAGAGCCCTGGGGACAATGTCTTAGCAGACCAGTTCCAAACGGTCGCCGCCGTTCTTGTGTTTTGACTGGTGCCAATCAAGCCAGTTTTTTCGGCGGCGACCGTTTGGAACTGGTCTGGCGACATTGTCCCCAGGGGCTCTTCTCGCCGTTCTTTACTTTTCTTCGTTCCATATACATTTTTCCGCCCGTTTAGACTTTCCCTCGCCCCCTTTATGTGCCCCAGGGTCTCCGAGGATGCAAAATATGTAGAGTGCTGAGCTTTTTCAATAGATCGTTTTCAGTCACGTGGTCAGCAGCTTTGCAAATTGCTTGGATTAAAAGAAAATTCAATTCCCACGGGATTTTTTTTGTACACAAACATGGCAGCCGATTCATCGTTTTGTACGTATATATATGGCCGCGTGACGTCATGTGAAAACAGTCTATAAGATTATGCGTGTTAGAGTTTGGGGTCAGTCCTAAATGTCGATCAAGTCCAAAAAATGACATAGATGGCATATTTCGATTCACGCCTCCAAAGTCAGGAAAAAGTGCCCTGGGGATGAGGTTGATGGGGGAGTACCCCTCCGGGCATTCAACAGGGTGTGCAACTGGGAGTTGTTGGCCAATAATGTTGCGTTCGTTTTCCACGGGGCTTTATACCCACAATAAAATCCAAGCAAATTACTTTTCCAATCAAATTCGTGGCTAGTAGTTTCCAAGCTAGTAATATTCCGACTAGTAAATTCCCGGCTGGTATTATTACCACTATTTTATTTTTATCCCAGCTAGTACTTTTCCGACCGAGTACGTAATAATCTTGTGATTAATGCTAATCTATTTTTGTACCTTATTTACCCAGTGCACTTCGCTTCCTAGCCGACTTAACATTTCCTAGTTTGTATTTCAGTTAGTTAAAGTTCATAATATTTGTTTTTATACTACTACATGAGAAATTACTGCAATTTGATTGGCTTAGAGCAGTGGTATTTCAGCTTAATTTGAAATACCTACATGTGAAAATTATAAACCCTTTGTGGGTTTTAGTATAAACAAATAGTAGCATGATTTGTACGGGATATTTGGCATAAATACTACTCGTGATATTTCAAAATTGTCTCAAACTTCACTCGCCTAACGGCTCGTGAAATTACGTATAACAATTTTGAGATATCACTCGTGGTATTTATACCACTATATTACTACAAATCATGCTATTACCTATACTAGTTGAACTGACCAGGGATCATAAACATTTTTATTTGCACCCAAATAAATTTCCTTTCTTGTGAAATCACTGAACCTAACCATAACTGTCTCAATTCAAAATAAATGGCAGTGGCTTTTACTTTTTAACCACAAAAGAGCAATAAATTTTCCCATTGGCGTAGAAAAAAGCGAAAGAACATGGAAAGATAGAAAGAGTTGTTTCGGTTTCAGCCATGACGAAACAACAGCTGCCAGATCGGGAATATTATTCTCATCAACTATGTATAAATTCAAAGGGCAGCTCAGGCTAATCAGTTCATATGTGAGAAAAGCATCGGAATTCTTCTCGCGTTTTACTTTGGTTTATAGCGATTTCTACTTGTACAGAGAGCTCTTCCGTTGATTACGTCTTGCACAGGTCCTATAATATGAAGCCTCTGACAGTTGCCCTCCTCGCAATCTCGGTTATCGTTCTGTTGTTACACGATGTTGATGCACGTGGAGGTGGTCGAGGAGGATCTAGTCGTAGTAGTAGTCGTGGCGGATGGAGCAGCGGGAGCAAAGGCAGCCGAGGAAGCAGCAGAACTAGCTCAAGTCGCCGTGGTGGTTCGTCTTTAAAGCTTAAAATTACCAAAACTACGCCAATAAAGCCGGTGAAGTTTTCTACTCCAGTGATCAAGTCTCAAGCGAAACGTGGTTCACGAACCATACTATTCACCAGAATCGCGGCTGGTTTTCTTGTAACGAGATACGTACTGGCAAAAGCTCCAGTGTACTGGAAAGGATTTCCGGTCTATGGAAGATACATATCCATTCCCGAGGAAAGAGCGGTGAGGCTGTCGTCCGAAAGAGTGAGTTTACTGGACTCGAATGGACACTTATGTCTGGGAAACTCGTCAACACCTCAAACCCTGAAAGACGGATTTAAAAAGAATCTCTTGGAACTGAACACGACTGTGATCTACAAGACAAACCCGGAGAAGGTAACATTACTGCATGGTGTTAACAACACACTGATTTCACTGGAAGACATCAAAGAAAAGGACTTCACAGTCACGACTCGTGCTCGATACAATGTCACTGTCACGCAAAACGGAAGCTGCACCCAAGTGGAAAAACAAGTCACTGGAACAATGATTCAGCTGTATGAATTTAACCCCAACAAAGCTGACATAGCCGGCATCAATTTTAAGTTGATTGTTACTCTAATCATGCTGATGGAATTGCTTAATGAGCGTTATTCTTCATAAGGAAGCGAGGCTAACAAAAAAACTGTTTTTAGTAAGCTGATAGTTAAATTTGTACTATTAGCATGCATTGCTTGATCGTAAATGATTTTCTTAAGAAGAGTGAATTACACTTAATTCTGGTCAGCGGATACCCTGTTTTGTCAATTGACCATTATATGCCTGGATGTTCAATGCATTGTATTAACTTACACACAAGGTTGGCCACCTAGCTAATAAGTGTTACATTTCACATCAGCTTAAATATAGGAGAAACTCTGCGAACGAACGTACGATTACTTCATAACCAAAATTTCCTGGATGCAAAATCAAATCTTAGCCTGAGTGCGCCATTAATTACAATTTTACGAATATGTTGTATTTGTCAACTTATATTTCTGCTATTAAACGTATTTTACCACGTGCTGTTTTAATAAATTTATACAACAAAAAAATTTCAAAAAAACCGTTTACGCCGGAGAAGAAGAAAAAGAAATTCAAGAAAATTACATTGCACGGAGCACAAGCTAAAGAAAGTGTGTTCCATTATATGAATTGACATACTTAAATGTCTTTTCACCAGAAAAGGATATGAAAGTGTGAACTTTCTGACTAAAAATATGAGAACATTTTTCCGTACAACTATAAAGACAGTTGCTCTAAGGCAAAGCGAGGGCGCGAACTTGGATTTCGGGAAATGTATTCCCAATACTGATCCGTTTTTTCTGAACACCAAACCTATCGCCAACCACTGGTGATATTTTTTTAAAAGGTGCTTTTTGCTGAAAAATTGGGGTCCACATTTCGCCAAAAAAAAAATCATTACTTTACAATTCAAATTATTTTATAATATTGTGGAATGATTAGCAAAGGAGTTTCTCTGAAACTAAACAGTTCGGAGACAAAGTTCGTATGGAGCAATCCTAAACGAGACGAAACTTGTTACGTGACGTCAGCTCGAACTAAAACATTTTTCGGACCAAGTGAATTCCCAAATAATACAGAGGAGAAGTCGTTACGTCACGTTGCCACGGTAGCAAATTTTCTGCATAACAACAAACTTAAAACTTCACTCAAAAGTGAATACGCACTGTTTCAATCTTCATTGATCTTATTCAATTTCATTTCATTTGTAAAATGTTGGCGACATTTTCTGGTAGTGAATCCGAAAGGACCTTATATAAGTTTAGAAAAAGAAAAAGGACTTTTTTGTGTTTTGTTCTCCTACTTCATAAAGCGGGCGCATGAAATTAGGAAGTTTCATGTCGCAGTCGTACAACCACGGCTAAGAAATGTGCAAAAAAGCGTGATGCACGTGCAAAGTTGTTGTTTTGCTAATAAACCTGTTGTTTTGTTTGCTGTTCTCTTTACCGTCGCCGTCGCCATCGTCGTTGCTCAAGCTCCCTATTGTTGTGATCCAGAAATTTTGCTATCATGGTAATGTGACGTCACACTGGCCCCTCTCTATTGGACCAGTTTTGTTATCTGAGACTATATTTACGCATTGAAACAGCTTCCTGTCACCTGCTGCAGAGGGTGGCAAGATGAGCATGGATTGGGGCAACCTTTTCAAGCGTTACTACTATGCCTAAAAAATCCCCCCCCCCCCCAAAAAAAAAAAAAATAAATAAATAGTTAGTACTCCGATCCTTCTCTATATGATGAAATTTGCGGTTTGATCATATCTACTTCATCTACAGGAGCTAAAACAAAACTGAATGCAAGGCTGACACTGCGGCAAAAGATTGATTTATTGGAGGCCAATATTTCGGCTGACAAAATTAGCCTTCTACAGGGGCATTTTTGTCCATGGGTAAAGGAAGTAATGGACCTTAATTGTCACGGTTTTCGACGCCATCTTGACGAGCAGGCAAACGCCTGAGAAATTACAGTGATTGTGTGAGAATCTAAAGTCGAATAATTTCCGTAGAACGGCTGTTCTGAAAAAATTGGATTTGTAAACTAAAGCTTCACTCCTAAGGATTCTCCTGAACAAAATTGAGGGCGTTTAATGCACTAGAAGACCTAGACCCACTTTTTAAAATTTTCTACACATTTGTCTGTAAGAAATTAAAGTCCTGGGAAAATTACAGACAAATATATGGAAAATCTAAAGCAAGCCTCTGGAGAAATTTAAGTACACGTACGCCCCCAAATTATTTTAGGACAATCCTTTGCTTTGTAGCTTATTTTACAATAGATTTTTTTTTTAGAACAGCCGCTTTACGGAAACTATTCGACATTAGATTCTCATACAAACACTATAATTTGTCACACGTTTGCCTACTCGTCAAGATGAAGTCGAAAACCATGACATGGTGTATTAAGAAATAACATCAGCACAGAATTGCTGACCTAAACTGCAATATCATCATGTATCATCGTGACGTAGCTCCTTTGACAAATGATGGTAATGGCGTAAAACTACTATACGTATACGGATGCGTGTCACGATCATTTCAACACATGAATGACGATTTATTATACTACGGTACACAAACTTCCTGCCACCATTCGCACAACAATATCTTGCAGAGAAAACGAAGAGGAAGACGAAAACTTGAACTTATTGTAAACAAGTTAGAATTTCATAACAAACGACTCGCAAAAAAGTGGGTACGTTTTTAAAAAAATTAAGTACTTCTTTTTGATGTCTTCCGGTGAAGTTGTGTTATTTACAACATCTAGTCTCGATATACCTTCCGCCACATTTGTATTGTAAATGAAATAACAGTCACGGCACCCAACGTTAGTTTTCGGAAAAGATCTGTTCGGAAGACGATTGGAGATCTAGAATTTTCCAAACATTTATTGTAAAATTTCTTGCTTGCCTGCCTCTTCTAGGAAATTCGAACATAACATGGTATAATTGCCCATTTTAACGGATTTTTACCCTAAAAAGGTAACTTAGAATTTTCGGGAGCCTTTTTTTCTGGCTGAAATTTTCGAAAAAGTAAGATTTGATCCCAATAATTTTCGGATCAGTAGACGTTCAGTTAGCAAATCCCAACAGATGAAAAATTTTTAGGGGATAAAAATATGCCTATACCTACCGTTTAAATACTACAATACGTTCAACATGCTCTGCTTAAGTGGTTTTGAACTATGTTCTGGTTGGGTGCCCCTGAACAGTCATCTTCAGTGACTTCATTTCCAACAGATTCTTTACTATTCTAACGGTTACTGGTTTAGAAAGTCTGGCTACCTCATAAAGCCAGATTCCTAACACATTGAGAGCCGTTTAGGGAATTATTCTAGTAGTTGTGTAGGGATAGGAGGTTCGTTTATGTAGAATGTTTCGTATGCTCTGCATACCGTGTGTATTCCCTCCTCTGTTGAGGGCTTGTTACGTCCATTGAAACAAGTATGACGTCCGCTGGGACTATGTACGACTATGTACGACTTTTGTTGCACAGTTGTGCTATATTCTGAAGGAGTTTGTCGACTAACGATGATAATTTCTCTGTCGGGCCATCACACCCCTGGTTTCCTAGCAATGGTCCAAAGTAACTAAATTATAATTATAGCAACCAGCATTTAAAAAGACTATCAAATCATAGGCTACTTAGACCAAATTCAACATCGAAAACTGAAAATACCTGACAGTTTTCTGTCGAGTTTAATTTATCAAACATGGTGGAATTTTCGAAGTTCGATGGAGTTTGTCATCCCCGGCTGCCGTTAAGCTTTCAAAACAGCTTGTGATGTCGACGTTTTTAATGTACAAATAAGTGGCCGAGCAGACCTTGAAGAAGATGAAGAGACATCTCTTGGACCATGGCTTCGGCAGTCGACCTCGTTGGAACGGACGTGCTCCCGAAACGGCCATGAGACTCCACCTAAAGTTCAGTAGTCAAACTGACAACTGTGAATAATTAACACATGCTTTAATATATATACTATGAGCGACATCTAATAGCGTTGTTAACCGTGTAAAATGTCGCCATCGTGTAAATGACCTATGAAAACTACCGTTTTTAGTTTTAAGCCAAGTCAAAATAAAATTACAAACCCTCGATGTATGTCTTAAATTTGTTGCGAAGTGTTCAGAATACAGTATGACAGGTAGCTATCTATTTCTATTTAAAAAAGCACAAACAGGTCCCGCAACTAACAAAACTACCGAGAAAATTATTAAAAAGATTAGGTCACGAATGAAATAGGGATTAGTTTCGTACATCTCAATCATTGTTCCATTGATTTGTTTTTCCACTTGTGTACAGTCAGTGTCTCTTAAGACGGTGACATTGTAACGAGTAAGAATCGTAACGGTGAAGTTCTTCTCTTTGATGTCCTTCAGTGAAATTGTGTTGTTAACGCCATACAGTATGGTTATATGTACCTTCTCCGGATTTGTCTTGTAGATCACAGTTGTTTTCAGTTCCACGAGATTCTTTTCAAGTCCGTCTTTCAGGGTTCGAGGTATTGAGGAGTAACCCAGACATAAGTTTCCATTCGCGTCTAGTAAACTCACTCTTTCGGACGAAATTCTTACGGCTCGCTCCTCAGGAATGGACACGTATTTTTCATAGACTGGAAATCCTTCACGGTAAACTGGAGCCTTATTCAGGGCATATATCTCATGACGAAATAACCAGACGCAACTCTTGTAAATAGTTTGGTTATTTGTGATCCACGTATCGTTTGAGATTTGATTACTGGAGTACAAAATTTCACTGGTTCTATTGGCATAGTTTTGGAAATTTTGAAGTTTAACCCTGAATTTGCCGAACACTTGTCCGAATCATGACCACCTCTAACATCATGTAGCAACAGAACAGCAAAAACCAAAATTACGAGGACAACTGTCAAAGTTTTCATGCTGTGGTACCTTGATGAAAGTTTCGACCTAATTCTAATACGCACTCGCAAACTAAACTGATCACGAATTACAAAAATATGCTTATAGACAGCGGATAAGGAAAATATTTCACGTACTTATACCTAAATTTACAAAACAAAAAACCGCTTGCACTACTTCCTTCTCTGCTGGTATTTCACACACTTTCTCCTTTGTTTATAAATCACGCAGTGACATCAACACGCTCGTTGTTCTACCATTAGTAGTAACCGCAAAAGAGCAGTAATTTTCCATTTGCGGAACTTAGAACCTATTCTCGTACCCAGATCACTGGCGGGGTACTCGATCAGCTAAAAGAAAGAGAATAGAAAATAAATTCTCGAGAAATATTGTAAACAACATTTTTTTTAAAGTAATGATCAATTTAAGATTGATTTCCACTGACGCGTTTTTTGCTACGTACGTTAACGCACACGTGATTTTGAAGCGAAAGAAAAGGTGTGTGATGTCATGTGGCTTTGACGTGAGAATAAGGCAAGCAACTTCTGTTGAAATGAGCGGCACCATCAAATTCAGGGGCACCCAACGGCTGTTTTCTGTGAAATATCTGTTCGGAGGAGCAAAAATTGCCTAGAATTTTCTAACGGCCTGAGAAGGCTAAAAACTTCTAGATGACCGTTCCATTCATGTACAATTTTCGAAGCTTATCTAATAAAGTCCCTACGGTTTTCTGAAGTTTAATTTTTCCCATTTCACTCCCAGGTTAAGCTATTTTTCGTAGAGAAAGGAAACCTAACTTTTTCGGAATCGAAAATACGATGCAGACAGGAATCAGAAAAATTCTCACTTTCGTAAAACGTGAAATTGCAGCTAAAATTTCCTGCTAACACCGCCTGCACGACAACATGTCGACAAAACATTTTAGAATTCAGAAATGGTTTAAGAAAAACTTGGATTTTGCTGCCATGTTATGAGTTTATCTGCTTATAGTCGAACCAGTTGCTATCTAAACAGTAATCAGAACCCCACCCTCACCCCCTCCCCCAGCTTTCCGCCATCGCCCCCAAAGAAGAAGATTAGATAACATTAAAAACAAAACAAAGCATGACCACATAGAATAGTTTAAGTAAGAAATGAGTTTCCGTTTTTGTGCTTGAACAAGCTTGAACAAGCTTGTGCGAGCGATAAAAAAGCAGGTCTCAACTTTATAACCAGAAACCGCAAAATGTTGAGAATATTAGCCTAATGAAGTAGCAGTAATTTTCCAACAAAAGAAGGAAGAGAAAGAAATTTGTTTGCGTAGCATAACCTGAAGTGTTATTCTATCCGCTATAAAAATTGCATGGATGTGTAATTCGTTGTCATTTTATTCTGTGTGCGCATCGGGTTAAGTCACGAACGTTTCTACGACATCTATAATCTATCGAGGTGCTACAACATGAAGCCTCTGGCAACTGCTGTCCTCGTAATTTTGACTGTTACTCTGTTGTTACATGATGGTGATGCTCGCGGAGGACGTGGAGGAGGACGCAGTAGTCGAGGAGGAAGCCGTGGTTCAGGATCTTCAAAATCTAGGATCACGAAAACTACACCAATAAAACCGGTCAGATTCCGTACTCCAGTAATCAAATCTCAAGCGATACGTGGCTCACGAACCAAACTGTTTACAAGAGTCGCGGCTCGTTATCTTGTAACGATATATGTACTGAAAAAAGCTCCAGTTTACCGGGAAGGATTTCCAGTCTATGGAAGATACGTATCCATTCCTAAGGAAAGAGCTGTGAGGCTGTCGTCCGAAAGAGTGAGTTTACTGGACTCAAATGGAAACTTATGTCTCACTCCGAGAAACTCCTCAATACATCGGACCCTGAAAGACGGAATAGAAAAGAATCTGTTTGAACTGAACTCGACTGTGATCTACAAGACAAACCCGGAGAAAGTTATCAGAAAGTACGGCGTTGATAACACAGTTTCACTGGAAGACATCAAAGACAAGAACTTCACAGTTACGACTCGTGCTCGTTACAATGTCACCGTTGTTGAAAATACTAACTGTACCCAAGTGGAAAAGCAAATCAATGGAACAATGATTGATTTGTATGAGGTTAACCCCAATGCAGAAAACGAGGCCGGCATCAGTGTTAAACATATCGTCATAATCGTAGTTGTTGCGGTTATTATTGTTGTTGGCGGAGGTGTGCGTCTGTACATGAGTTGTTCGTAAGTAACGTTATCAGTTTTTTAGTTTTGTTTTTACGAGGCTTAAAACTAGGTCTCCAGTGTAGATTCCCCCGTCGTGTTTAACTGCCTCAGAGTAATTCTAACACACCCGTTAATTACTGACAGCAATCGTACAACTCTCTCTGTCGCACATTATTAACCAAATGCGAATGAATGAACTTATTTTTTCCGTTCTACTTATATGCATGTTTAAGACCCAGTCCAGACACTATACCGTCCGAAATGGGGAGATTGCGCAAATTTTACATCAAGGAAGCAAAGAATGACATGATAAAGTATGTTCGATAGTATTGTAGCTTTGGATTGTGGGTAATACCTGTATACTAGCTAGTGAGTTGTTTCACAAAAGTTAAGCGTATATATACAATAAATTTGACTGACTTGACCTACCTTGAAACCAGTGCGTGAAAGTTTGCTTTTTTCGAAACGATTCATTATTTCATCTGCCATGAATATTAATTATTATTATTCGTTCAAAATATTTCTCCGTTTCTTATTGGCTTAAACACCGCGACTAATTCTTCATGACTAGCTAGTGTTGACAAAGATGTTTGCCGATATCCGTAAAATTGACGTCACCTGTACAGATATCGACAGAAAAAGGGACAGCAGTACAAGGCAGGGTAGCTCAGCTATCTTGGCAGAGCAAGTGAAATGATGGAAGATTTCACTAGTTATGCAAAGAAGAAATACCACTCAACCGATAGCAATTGCTATTTGAAGAATGTCTGCTAGAATTGAACATCTCGTTATAACTTAAAACTTCTGAGGAAAAGGTTAACGGTTATGCATTACATGGATAGAGTTATGCATGTATTGTTGACTCAGTTGGAAATATTTTGAATGAATAATGAAATAATCATTGGATTCGGCTTCCGTATGATATGAAGAATTATGCAGATCAAGGAGCGTGTACCCCTATTGGGCCTTCGATCGGCCTCGGCGGATAACACCCTTTTTAATACGCATAATTCTTCATACCGTACTGAGCCTCATCCAATAATTGGTAAATATTGGCAAAAGAAATGTGAACTTACTTTAATGTTGTATATTGTCGTTCTTTTGCCGGGGTAAAAGGCGAATTTTTAGCACTCAAACGTTAAAACGCTTCCTTCCCAGAAACTTCTCTTTAAATTTAAAGCACGCAAACGGTCACCCACTTGGTATGGGCGCCCTGTGGATGCTGTTAGTTTATTTCATGCACTCATACTTTTATTTTGTCTTGAAAAAAGGTCGTGCAGTCAACATGCGTTCAAACTGTAAGAATATGTTGATTGCTGAGCTTTTTCAATAAAATCATGCGTGTTACAGTTTGGGTTCAAACAGTTGAGTAGATGACGTATTTAATTTCACGCCTCGATTCTTTCTTGTGACTCTGTCACATTTTAACTTTGATTAACCTTGTCCCAGCGCCTCCCTGTTTTCCAGTATGGGGGCATTTTGAAACCCGAGAAGCCCTTGGGGAGGAAGATGAACGTTGATTATAACATTTCCCTTCCTAGGGTCTCCCTTTAATCATCCCAGCATGGCAAGAGAGAGAGGCCGCTGGAAACGCAATCTCGTACTCAGAGTCTTCAGGCTCTCTGGTCAGCGGGTGGTCGCCCGATGACCAAAGAGCCCAAGGACTCTGGGTACGAGAGTGCTGGAAACGAGGTTGTAATAAGACGCCTAAAGTCGTTTGCGTGGGATGCGTTGATCTATGGAAGAATAATGACGTTCTATCTGAATTTGGAAAAATTAGGGAAACCGGAAAGATGTGTCATGTTATGAGCATCGATGAGTAGGTTACCTGTATGGGTTGGTTTTTAAAATGTGCTTATGACTGAATTTATAGTAGCCTGCGTGGCAGGCTACTATTTCTCCCCAATCCACATCCCCTTTGTGCTTCCTCCCTATCCCCTACACCTATTACGCAAGCTAAATTTATAGTTGTCAGTGGTCGCAAGGATGGAGTTGATCTTGTTTTGATCTATCGCTATGTAGTTATTTTCATAGCACGATTTGGGTAAGAAAAAGAAGTTATTTTGCATCAAAACAAGGTTTACCCGTGTAACTTAAATTGGAATGTTAACGGAAACAAGTAATGGAGAACATGCGCATAATGCTCTCTGATTAACCTGAACAGGAACTATATGAATAAAGATACATCATATCTTGGTAGTAAGTTGCCATAGGTAACTTTTTCAAAGAGAAATACATTGTAGTTTTAGGTTAATGGAACAAAACAAAACAAAACATCCGCTTGCTTTATCCAGGGTCGAACCCAGGGTTACAAAGTTCGATAAAGTTCCAATGTTTTAATCCAAGATGAAAGTTTAATATTCCAAGATGCTCTTGATACGGTTAAAAATTAATTGCAATGTGTTTCCAAGGTCTCAAAGTTAACATAGTTCCAATGATTATCCCTGATTCCAAGGTATAATAAG